AACCCACTTCTATCAATCGAAAGGAAACTGCGACCACACCAGAGGCCACAACATCTTGGTCTTCATATATCCATGTTCTTATAAACATTGGGAATATGAAACACCCATTTCAAATTTAAAGAGTGACTTATCCTAACTTGACTGAATAAACGAAACAGTAACCAAGCCTAGCTTCATCAGCTGGTTTTGCTGCCTGATTCTCTTTTCGGATACCCCTTGGAGGTGTGGTGGAGTTCAAGGCCTTGACTCTTCAGATTTTATATTTGGGTCAACTAATATACCATGCTTAGCCGTGATGCACATCGTACTGGGTAATAGCACTACAAATGTGATCTAGTAAATCTCTAAAATAAACTGGTTACATTTCTTAAAGCTTTTTCTCGAACAAGTTCAAAGTGTCAACATTTTCCGCAGGTTTTTGCCAAACCAAAAAACACTTAGGTTCTAAACCTGCATGATCTTGGTTTGAAACTTGCTCCTTGGTTGGTTTTGGACGGAAGTTCTAATGGCATCTTATAAATTGGTTATCGCAACAAAGATAAAAATTTTGTTTTTGTTCCTATTGCTGCCCTGGGAGTCATTTTGGTTTACCATTCAAAAGAGTAGGAAAGGTGTGGCTTTCGGATACCCACGAAAAGATCCTATGATTTCATCAAGGAAAACGGCAGGCCCGATCATCAACCATTCAATAAGTAAGTCAACAGCATAGGCCGAAATCGCCATAAATTTAAGGATAGTAAAGATAAAAGGTATGAGGAAGTCTTAAATTAGTTATGACCGACTAAAATATGGTGGGAAAAATGAATTTCTTTGAATAGAATGAAAATATAAGGAAATGCCGTATTCATAAAAGCAGAGTGGTGGGGAATATACTGGGGTTTCAAGAGGGGGCCGCCAAAAAGAAAATTAAGCTTCTAAACTAAAAAAAATATAAGGGCAAGAGTATAGACATAAAGAGTTCAACACATAGGGGTGGCAGACAAACTAGCTAAGTATAGGATATCGCGAATATTGAAATGTATGAAACTCAAAACAGGGTCGTAGATCATTCCGTCATGTCAGTCATAATAAAATGCACTCAAGGATATGGACGCGAAAGTATTAGTTTGGTAGGTTTGAAGAGATCGGTATGAGGGATGGGATAGTGTGAGGTCAATTGGCCATGCTAGCATATGTAGACGCAGCGAATTTCCTAATGTAGTTGAGGTTACTTCATTAGCTTTGACATTTCTAGCACTCGTTTTAGTTCCTCTTCTTCAGCTCGAGCCCTTCTCTCCTCTAGGAGCAGCTCTTGTTTCGAGGCCTCAATGGCCTTAATATAGGCATCATCTGCAGAGGTTACAGGTATTTCCTCACCCTCAACGCTAAGGCTGGCAACAATGGCTCTGATGGGAAATATGGAAAAAGTTTATAGGGATTAATGGCAGGTTTTTGGAAGTGTTCAGAATGCATGGGTTGCAAATATATTTTGTCAAAATCATGCAAGAAAATGGGGCTGAACAGTTGCATAAATACTGCTATAGGGTTGTGGAATATTTCAATGTCAGAACATACAATCAAAGTACAGAACATTTTGTAAATAAGAACAAAATTAACCTTAATTACTCTTAAATGATGCTAAGTCTGGTATTTGGTATTCCTAACACGAGATTAGTAAAAGGCTTTATTCTCGGCAGCATACGATTGTTAATATTTTAAAAAGCTTAATTAAAAGATCTTTGTCTTCAGATGTTTTGGGGAAGCATATAGAAAAACTAGTACTTCAGGAATCCCCAAATGGATAGATATTTTCGTTTATTTTGAAGAGGCGTAGAACGGATTAATAAGTTGGCCTCACCAGATGCCGAAATGGAATTATCTTGGATCTGCGACTGTAGATTTGTGCAAATAAGTCCTGAGTGCATCGCGATTCCGATGAATCCTTGCTGACTTACAATAATTCACCAAGCATAAAGAGATTAAATGTGGTCGGTTGCAAAGCTGCCTACTTCGCAAAACATAAATTTGCTTACCTAATGAGACATTTCACGATTGGAGGATATTTTGTGATAATGTTATAATTAATTTCTATAAGGTGACAGTTATTTTATTACATTATTTAAAAAAGTTTAAATATAAGTGCCTCTCAAGTAACTTTTCAGGAAAAAATTTCTTTTTCTATTCCGCTAAGCCAAAAGTAACTATCCATCAACGGTCCCCTGCCTATTTATACTGATGACCTTGGTAAAACTCAATCTTAATAAATGAATAAACATGGGTATATCAGGTTAGAAAAAATGACGCAGAAATGGGTAGATATGTTTTCCATAATAGAATTTTTAACGTCAATGATCTGTGCATCTACTATTAAAACGAGTACAACTTGAAAATTGTTGTAAGAACGATACCCAGCTCGAAAAAAACTTTATCTCATTCTAGTAACCGTTAAGGCACATCTCCAAATGAATTAATAACCCCTACTCGCAAGCATCTATCTCTATTAGTAGCCATAAAACTCACAGGTAAATGCATAAAATAAGACGATGATCTTCACGAATAGAATGATGAATCAAAGGCATATAAAACACTGAATATATAATCTTATATTTAGACATGCGATGGTGAAAAAGGTTGAGGCCAGATATAAGATGATTTAAATAATGATACTTGTGTAGGCCTCAAGATTCCATCGCATCTTACTTAGCCTTGCCTCCCAAAAGCTAATCTCTTTCAGGGTGGGCAGCAGCTTCGACACTTTCTAGGTTCCATCTACGCCCTAGTTGGATTTGATACTAGATTGTGAGTATCGTTGTGACATTACCACCGCACTACATGGCCACGGATTATAGTGGGTCACAGGGTAGGTGCGAAATTTAAGGAGTCGCCTCTTCCAACTAACATTACGGAAAATTGTGCCTGCCGCTAGCATTTACTACGTAACTTATTTTCTGTATAGAAATTATTGAGATTATCTATCACTACTTATACCGCAAACGAGTAACATTAATCTTAATGCAAAATATATTTACTTAATCGGCAATCCCACTATAAAAGTAAGCTGAAAGGGGCTTAGCTTGCATTGAATTTCACGCCTGCCCTGTGTGATCGACTGGCACCCGTGGCTATGTAATGGAGTGGTAAAGTGGCTAGGATACTCACAACCCGGTACCAAATCCTCCTGGGGGTGCTGATAAAACCTAGGTGAGGTCGAAACTGCAGTTTACCCTGGATGATATAAGCTTTTAGGAAGCAAGGCTAGATGAGATGCAATAGCAATAGTATCTATAATCGAGTATTATGGATACTTTTGAAATCTAATCACATCTAAATAAATGGTACCCCTCAATTACAAAACAGAATAATTCCACGAGTTGTGAGGGAAAGGCTCAATGTGGCAATCATATACCCGTGAATATAATTCCTAGATCCCTATTTAAAAGCCTAATCAATACATATAATGAAGCCATTAAATTAAATATTTTAAGCATTAACCTTTCGTTTTTTAGGATAAGAAGAGGCTTTATTTAGTCCTTTATCTCATTTCAATGAGCCCGACATATACGCTTGGATACTCAAATCGCTAAAACCTAACCTGATTTCTATTTTCATATAGTCACGTGGGAATACTTTTCAGGAAGCACTACATGGCAGAGACAAGATAAGTGAAATCATCGTCATTTTATGAGAAATTCTCTTTCAAGAATCTCTTAATAAATTCAAGCTTTCATAGCTTGGTTGGAAAAGTGAGGAGATTAATAAATTTCCTCATCAGAAGGGCAATACAATCGTCTTGGGGCTGTGACTATAAAATAGAGATAAGTCCTAGGTAAACTGTCCCTCGACTCCAATTGTTCCGGGCTGAGTTTTCGCATTGCATATTATATAAACCAAATCCTAGAAGGAGAGTGGCGGTTTGTAGCTCTACTTACTTCTTATAGCATAAATATGTCCATTTATTGAGGTAACTTATGATTTGGATGAATGGTTTATATTGTTCCCAAATGCTTGCGGATAAGTCATGCGGCTATGGTAACATGTGAATGGGATGTAATTGTGATCGGAAAGCTGCATACTCGCATAAATAACTTGCAGCTTTGTCACGACAATCCTTATTAGAGTAAATATACTCGCCTGTAAGTGTATTAAGTGTATGCACTGTTCTGCCATGTGTTTAGAACATTTTGATTTTTGGACTTAAACTTTTGTCTGCAGTGTTATGTCCAGATAACTTCTTATTTATGGACTAGCGGGTCTCTCTCACATTCGTTATCAAATGAACATAAAACCTAGTAGCAGCATAGTATGAAATAAGTATATGAAAATTCCACAAATTCCTCCATTTATCGTAAGCATCGATTATATTTCTTTAAAAATTTGATAACGATGTTGAAGCATAGTTTAAGAGGATAAGTAAGATTTGACCTATGAACCAAGAGGCAAACTTCAATAGAGTTAGTCCGGAGTAAGCGCGCATGAGAATAAAAAAGTGATAAACAAAACTCACTTTTGGAGCATTGCTTCTTCTGGATCCACGTATTCCGAATTCCGACACTCTAGTAGACCTCGTTTTTGCTAAAAAATAACAAGGATCGAACAAAAGCATAAAAGGCGGGATTGACGGATAGATTAAAAAAAGAGAGCCAACCGGTTATGAGAAAATAAGAACTGTTACGAACCAAGGAATACTCGCGCATTAGCAACTGGTCCGAGCCGCCATGCTCTGCAAGACTGCGTTGGACCGCCATTTGAACCATCTGTTCCTCCTCATCCAGACTGCCGTAATGGCCAGGCGAATTTTCATCTTTTAAAAAAAGAATTTACAATTAGAAATGAGTTAAAAATCTCCGAGTAGATTTCATGTTTTAAAAAGATTAAAAACCATTTATACCAGTAATGATTTTTAAAAAGATTAAAACAAGTAAAAAGAATAAGTCATAGTCATCCTAGGTCAATTAAGGCGAAGAAAGAATGATGGTGAATTATACTGCACTGAGATAAATTAAGTTCACTTATCCTTATTTGCCAAAAGTTATTCTCATCCAGAGTAAGCTACAATTTCAACCTCGTCTAGATCTCATCAGCAACCCTAATTGGAAGTGACAAGCCAATTTGATAAGTTGTAACTCTGTGCTGACGATGGCAACTCTCAATAACGATGCCGGCGAAACGTTTGGAAATGTACAGAGTCAATGGTCTAATGTTGGAAACCAAGAATGCTATGGCAGAGGGCACAGGACTAGGTACGCTCCAAAAGGACTCCCTGATGCACCTACCAAGTTGCGAAAACAATATCGAACTAACACTCGTTCTTAAAAAAATTTACAAATATAGGTAGTATTATTAAGTAGGATAAATAGATTAAACTTACGGATGATATGATAACCTCGGCCAACATCAAAGACGCTTTCATCTACAATACATTTTGGTGAATCGATTTGCTCTACAGCCTCAGTAGAAGTATCCTTGTTCACGACTCCGGATGGATGGCCAGATAGCAAAGGCTTCGAGGCGGAGTCAGAACTGTCTCCTAGTTGTTGCTGGGCCGCACCTGCTAGTGAACCACTCTCAGATGATCGGAGGAGACAAGTAACGCCATAGGCTGATGAGTCTTCACCATAGAGATTGCCAAAGGAGATACAAGCATTCAATACGTGGTATAATGGAATCTCTAAATGAAAAGGGTGGAATAATAAAAAATAAACTTATAGAAATTTAAAATTAAAAAAGGTAGTAGATGGATAACTGTAAGCAAGAGAATTTTATTTGATCGAATGCCGACTCGGGCCAAGCTCAAACTTGCTTCTTGCGGTAAAATTCAATAATCGAAGATATGGAGGTTGTTTTCGCAACATGGTCATATTGGTAGGAAGACTTAGAGGAACGCACCTAGTCCGAAGTACATTGTTTGCATGATCATTTCCAAAGTTTAACAATGGACGTGGTACATTCCCAAACGTTTCGCCGACATCGTCAGTGAGTATCGCTATTCTTAACACCATACAACAATTCATCAAAGAGACAAGTGAAGCCGATCCTTTGACCAATTCTCTGCTAAAAAATCGTGGTATCCATCCTTTTGCCCTGGGCTATTCACCATTCCTACATCCTAAAATCATCCCTTTACTACCACAATTTTTATCCATATTGCCAACTCGATGACTTCCTACTCCCTAGTCTCTTGTATGCCAACCCACAAATCTTGTGGTTCTACTTGTTTTGATTAGGCTCAATTTAGAAATACAACATTTGTGGGTTGGCAAACAAGAGATTAGGGCGTAGGAAGTCATAGACCTGGCATTATGGATAGAAGCACGATAAATCCGGCGGAAACTAGAGCTAGTTGGCTGACAGTAAACGTGTTTTATTATAGACGTCAAAGGATCGGCTTCACTTATCTCTTTGGCGAGTTGTTGTATGATGCTAAGAATGGCGAAACACACTGACGATGTCGACTACGATGCCGGTGAAACGTTTGGGAATGTACTACGTCCACGGTTCAACTTTGGAGATGATCATGCAGGCAATGGACTCTGGACTAGGTGCCTTCCTCTAAGTCTTCCCACGAATATGACAATGTTGCGAAAACAAGGTCAAACAACCTCTATACAGCGAAAGTAGGCTGCGACCACACAAAAGGCCACACCATCTTGGTCTTCATATAATCGAAGATATGTATTATTATTTGCTCATAAAGCCTAAAGTAAAAAAATGATAAAGTACTGACCATAATAAAGAAAGAAACAGATGTCACGCAATAATTTTATCTTCCTAGTGTCTTTATTTCATAATAGTATCGAGCTTCTACTTAAGGTTATCACCAGCTTACTGCTAGGCTTACTGTTTAACATAAAATGGGCTTAGCAACATATTGAGGAAGGCAGAAGGCTGCAGTCCAACAGCCTAGCTAGGCAAATTAATATTTACCTCAATTAACACGAAATTTAGATCGCAATTTTTATTCGATACGTATTATCAACAAGTGATAATAATAGGACATTTTCTAGCTATCATAATTTTCGGAGCCATACTTTTTTTACAGCGAATAAGCTTGGAAATCGGAATCAAAACATCATAATAAAACTACTACCGAGCCAAAGACCACGTCGTTGATTACCAAATCTGCGAAATAAAAACTTAAAACTAATCTGATGATAATATATCCACCTGTAAGAAGGTTTATTGGTAATATGGAAGATCCATGACGGAATATAATAAAATTAACGAGATAATTAGATCAATGATAGTAAGTAAAGCTAGGAGATAACTAAACATAAATAAGCATCATCTATATAAAATCGCCATATAGCAAAGTCATAATAGCATTACCATAGAAGTGTATAATAATGCAAAAATAAAATACAAAAATCATAGAGAATAAAACTTTAAATAAGAATATATGAAAGGATGAAAAAATACCTGTTTTCATAGGAAACCCACTAGGTAGTTGTTTAGTGAAGAACTCTTTTAATTTGTTAAAGTAAGGATTGTACTCCGACATCAGATCAATAATTGGAATCACCTGATAGGTCAGAGAAAGAGGATAGTCCTGGCACATCCAAAGGCGAGCCTTGAAAGTCTTCACTTTGGTAGTCATTACCTTGGGGCGGCCGATATCAACCCCGTGCTCAAGTTTCTCTGGAGAGAAGTACTGTTCGACAGTGATCTGACAGGGATTATAACTAGCTGCCTCCTGTTATTTGAGTGTCGAGTACAAATAAAAAACGAATCAAGGGCTTAAGAAGACAGAATAAAAATATAATTGATATTTAGAAGCTAAATTAAAGATAGATTTATTAGATGAAAAATGCACAAATGATTGCGTTAACATATAGTTTGATCGAATCAGACAGAAAAAGTAAAATGGAGGTAGATTTGTTAAAAAGAAAAGCCCTTTTTACCCACTATAGTCAGTAGTCTAAACATTTCTTGTGATCCAAATTATGCCACATTTTCGCCGACTGATTTAATGACCTAAGGATGATCATGATCAGAATATGTAGTCCAGGAATTACGTCTGGTTGTGATAACAAGATGTGATCCTGTACGCATGTGAGTAAGGATGCAAAGCCGAT